TCCAGGACCGCGGGTTTGCTTTTTCTGCCGACAACTGGAACCAACTGGCCATCGCTTTACTCCGGGCACGTGAATTTGAACGATGCTTTGAAGTGCTCGAACGTGTTATCGTTCCTAACCGGCGGCGGAGTAATCTTCTCCGGCAAGAGCGGGAATTCAGCCCGGCGTCCCCGCTCTCGCTCGTTGACACCCCGGCCGAGGCCCGGACGCCGATGGAGAAGAGTCTAGTCGGAAAGGCACGCTCGGAGGCGACCAAGTGGGGACGATTTCATCGGCGGGTGGGCGAGGAGTGGGATGATCCCGTGTATGCCGAGGATCTCGCTCACCACCTGCACATTCTGCACCGCATCTCGCCATTCTGGAATACATGGCATCCGAATCACACTCTCCTGCGTGGGCTGTTTGAGGTCCTTTTGCGGTTGCGTGCGGGCTACCCAGCGGATGCGACATCCGCCGACGACGCGTTGTCGACGAGCAGTGATGTGGTGGCAGAACGTACCTCTGCGGCTTATGCGCGTCTCAAGGACATCTACAGTCTGTATCCAGACGCCGTGGTGCTCGTGGAGAAGTTTGAGCGCAAGGAGAGGGAGCGTCTAGGTCGCTGGTTCACTAGGGTGTACAGATGGGCGGCAGTCCGATAATAATACCAAGAAAAAATACATAAAATCAAGAACCCTCAATCCGAATCATCGTCCGACCCGGAATCATCCCGCCGACGCTTACTCGAGCCATGGCGATTACGCTGTGATGATGGTCAGCGAGCGTCCCGCGGTGGGTGGGAGGAAAAGGTTTACCAGAGGGAGTTTCAGCCCTTGGTTCCCGAATGCAATCGAGAGAGCGGTTGTTTCTGGGTGCGGTACATTATTAATATAAAAAGTAAACTTGTAAAAGGAATAATACAAACCTGGAACGCCCGGGAATCGTTTAGCAGAGTACACGGTGAATGGTTCACTGAATATCTGAGCGAGAACCGGCATGGTACCGGTGTTTACTGCCAACGCGCCGGGTTCTGGTGCGGGAGGGCTAGTACAAAGGTCAACATTGGTATCACTTTGGAAATGACGAGTTGCTCACGCTCCGACATTCATGAGACGTAGTCGAAGTCGGAAAGTGCCTAGCGGAAGTTTAGATGAGTGGGATGCTGGGATCGGGGGGTTGAAAGTTTTACCTTCCGTGCGCACTGAGAGGTCCTGGAATAGGAAAAATATACCCGGTTTGCGGTGTTCGTCAAGCAGCCGATATGCATTTGAAGAGAGCGGCCCGACGAGTGTGCGTGTGTACGCGCTCCGCGGATTAGGCTGCGCCGCCGAGGCGCTCTGCGGTGGGTAATTCGAATTTGACGATGCAGACGGAGGGAAGTAGGGTTGTTGGTGTGAGTAGGGCGGCGGTGGCGGTGGGCCGTATATCGCTGAGTCATACTGGGAGTTCGACGGCGCCGGGGAATACGACGAGCTTTGGTGCTGATCCCAGCCATCACGCGAGTCGGAGCCGCCGGCACCCTTGAGCGCTGGATCAAGAGGCGGGTTCCCAAATTCACTGCTGCCAAAACCGCTGTTACTACTAGCGTTCCACGGGCGGTAGGTTGGCTCAGGCTCGGGATGCGGATGCCAATGCTCGTTGGCGGGACTCGAGCTGACACTGCCGCGATTGAAGGAAGAAATGGAGGGCAGTATCGGCGGAGGGTAAGTTGTGTTGCGGTCGACTTGGGAAGGCGGTGCATGGGAGGGGTATCCCCATGATGGATTTGAAGAGCCATAGGAGGACAAGGGCGCGGGCGCGGGCATCGGCGGAGACTGCGGCGCAGGAAAGTAGCTCGGATTGCTGTTGTATGTTGATGAGCTACTTGGGGGCTAGCATGCGACAATCAGCGATTCAGTTCATTGAAAAATCCAAGAAAAACACACAGGGTATTGCGACGATGGTGTTGGGGTTGATCGGGATATCGGTGTCTGATGCCCAGAACGCGGAACTGCGGAAGAGTTACCTCCACGACGTCGCTGTTTAGGTGTCTGTACAGGCACGTAGCGGTCTCCGGAAGACGGATGAAGCACGAGATTACGCTCGTGTTTACCGTCTTCGGACCACAAATCCACAGTGACGAGGAAGAACGAGCAATCGACATCGCTGGGTACCCGTGTGAGTCAGGTAAAGATAGCAAAGAGTGGGAATATCATACTCGACGTCGACGATGCTATTATCTTCTCGTTTTACCACCATACGTGCTACCGCGGCTGGAGCTAATGGTCTTCGATCCTGACAGGCGGTGTGCCATCAGCAGTCGGAAAGACCGAGGCAGTGGTACCCACTCACTTTGTCGCCAAAGCCACACATTCGGGCGCGCAGGGGATGCTGGACCATCTCCAGAGAGTAGTAGCTGAGAATTTTTTTTCGCAAGCGTAAATTTCATGCGACGGGGCATGGAGGAGGGTCGAAACAAACTGACTTGCGGCCCTGCCACTTCCCCCACTCCTCTTGAGACTCTCCACCAGTTGACTGACGCATTGGCGCCACAGCGGTTGCGGTGGACGTTTTGCGGGGACTGATATGCTGGATCATGACTAGACACGAGTAATTGGTTTAGAGTTTCTGGATGGGGAGAGCGGTGTTTTTGGCCAGGAAGTCGAACTGGACAGATAGAACTCCAGGTGCAAAAGAGTTGCTTGGGTTGGGGGGTGGGGGAGGGTGCAAGGAGGTCCCTGGGATGAGAGGAAGATAGAGGAGGCTGGGCGACCCGAGATAGTGGAACGCTGCAATGTGTGTCACCAATCCAATCACAATCGGGACGCCGTCCGCGCCAGGACCAGAAATACGGATTAGAGCAGGAGACGGAGTGCGCAGAGAATGCAAGAGGCCAGAGAGCTTTCTTGAGGGTGGAAAGGCGTGTGTTGACTGATGTTGCCGCGTCGCGCTTATAACATCTCGACCATGACCACGTCGGGCTCAAAATTCTGGCACACCGACGGACTGGACCACACACGGATTCGACTCTACCAGACGAGTGGGTCCACCGGCCCCCGGCTTTCGCTGCTTTCTCTGGACTTGCTCCCACGACTCGTTCCTTCTCAAAAGCTAACTCCAGGACCAGCGAACAGGTACCAGACGCGCATCACGCCTTTTCCAATGGATTCGACGCGTCCAAAGACCTGAAATCGCCGCCGGTCCACACGTGCTGCCCCACGTAGGAATTTAGGCAATTCCGGGCCAGACAAGACTACAACCGAGTTGAACTGCCTTTTGTTCCCTTGTTTTATTACTGTTGTAATAGTTCCGTGTCTCCGCTCCCGTAGAAACTGTGAATGCATACGACTTGCATGTAGAAATTTAGGACGCGTCTCGAGTCGCGTGGAGACTGATTGCCGCATTGATTGCACCTGACAGCACTCTCTCTTGGCCATGGATCAAGCAGTCGCCAAAGTCACACTGCAAAAGCTGGTAAAAGAGGACAACCGCCTCTGCTGTGACTGTGGCAACCCGAACCCACAATGGGCTTCCCTCGGGTGCGCGACAAAATCTTCTCTCGTGTCATCATCTGTTCTTATTCATTCCACAGCTTTGCCGTCTTTCTCTGCCTCCAATGCGCGGGAACTCATAGAGGTTTTGGCGTGCATATCAGGTATGTATCGCGCCCAACAAGCAGCGAATGGCTCGTAATATTCTCCAGCTTCGTGCGGTCGATATCAATGGACACCTGGCAGCCGGACCAGCTCAAACGGATGCAGGTGCGGTCGTATCCGTTCACGGATGTGGAAATTCATGATGGCAGATTGGCGGCAACACTGCGTTCAAGGAATTCATGAAGAACTATTCGCCTGCCGAGCAGGGTGGGTACAAGGAAGGCAACTCTCCGTACGAGATCTACCACTGCTGGGCTGCATCGCAATATCGGGAAAAGGCACACTTTAATTCCCATCCGTCCATCTCTCAATTAATCCTGTCTCGCAGCTTGACGCAGAGATCGCTGGTAAACCATGGACTCAATCCGCACCACCTCCGCCATCCTTGAGCAACAGTACCGATTCGGCCGGTCTTCGCAAATCGCGGGCATCTGGACGCTCTGCTACAGGCTCATCCCTCCGTGCTGACTCGGCCTCCCCAGCGTCGTTTGGCAACAGCTCGCCGCGGGGCACACCTGATCTTGGCTCTGACCAAAAGACTGCCAACGAGTCGTTCTTTGCAGGTCTCGGCCAGACCAACGCGATGCGCTCGGCAGATCTCCCACCGTCGCAGGGCGGGCGATACCAGGGCTTTGGCAGTACACCAACCCCGCCGCCAGGCAGCCAGCACCCATCCTACGGCATGTCTTCCGCTGCTGCACCGTCGTTCTCGGACATCCAGGAGAACCCTGTCGCGGCGCTGAGCAAGGGATGGTCGCTCTTCTCGGCTGCCGTGGTTGGAGCATCGCGTGCCGTGTCGGAGAACGTGATCCAGCCTGGGATGGAGCGTGTCCGGGACCCAGCGTTGCAAGCCAGCGTGATGGGCTACATGACCGAGGCCCAGAAGCGTGCAGCGGCGGCTGGTGGTGTGGCCAACCAGTGGTCCAAGAACCAGCTGGGTGTCGATGTTGCCGAGACCGTGGGCGGTGTTGTGGGTGGCGTGCGGGATCGCTTCGGGCCTTCACCGGCGCAGAATGGGTATGGGGCGATTGGGATGGGTCCGGACGGGGAGGAGACGTCTGGGTTGTATCATGAGGATGACGAGGATTTGTTCACCGAGTATAGAGGGTACGATCAGCCGCCACCTTCAAAGCCCAGCCAGCCTGCTGCCGCGAGCAAGAAGAACGACTGGGACGACGATTCGGAGTGGAAGGATTTTTAGGATCCATGACTTTTTTATTATTTATACGGATGGTAACTAATAGACTGTTTGAGCAAAAAGCCATACGGGGCGAGGCTGTCGTGAGGCCGTTGACCACGAACTCGAGTATCCCCAGCTGGCAGCGACGGGCTCCGCCCTCCTTGCCAGGGAAGTATGCGGTGACACTGGCCGCTACGGTCGATTATCGCTTCCTCAGGGAATCGAACCCTGGTCCCCCATGAACTAGGAAGACGGCTGATTGAAGGCACGTTTACAATTCAGCCAAGGAAGCGATGTGAATGTACCTAGAGAACTTGGGTATATGCAGTAGCTCGAGCACTCAACGCGAGGTTGAGGATCAGAAGAACGCGTTGTTTGACGTCAGATGACCGCTTCCGTATTCGGAGCTTCAGCCTTCCCGCCACTTCCCCGCATTCACTACCATTCGCCACATCGCCTCGTCTCTGACCACCTTTTGACTGGAATTGCGCGGTGGATTCAACATGCTTCGCCTGACACGTCGGACGCTCTCTTCTTCAGTCTCGCGACGCGCACCCCGGAGGCAATACCATGCCACTGTTCTCCCCTCTCTTGTTTCTACGGCCTCCCCAGAATTCGCAGAAAAGGCAGCGGCAATGGACGTTCTCGTCGCGGATCTAGAAGCAAGGACGGCTGAAGCTAGACTGGGCGGTGGGGCAAAGACTGCTGAACGGTTCCGGAGCAAGGGCAAGAAACTGCCTCGCGAACGGTGCGTGTCTATTCTTTCTTCCTTTTGGTTCCATTCTGACACATTGAAGCCTTTCACTTCTGCTGGACCCACACACCCCGTTTCTGGAGCTTTCACCATTGGCGGCGCATGACGTCTATCCAGGTCAAGCCATCCCTGGGGCAGGCCTCATCACTGGTATTGGGCGCATAAGCGGACGCGAGTGTATGATTATTGTGAACGACCCCACCGTCAAGGGCGGCTCGTATTACCCACTCACGGTACGCGTCATGTCACATCTTCTGTGGATTCCAAATTTAATTCGCGACGTGCAGGTCAAGAAGCAGCTGCGAGCACAGGAGATTGCACGGGAACATCGACTACCGTGTGTCTATATCGGTAGGAAACAGTTCTTCCACAGCAGATAAGATGGATAACTTCTGACATGGTTCTCGCAGTTGAATCCGGGGGTGCCGCATTACCGTACCAGGCGAACGTGTTTCCCGACAAAGAACATTTCGGTAGAATTTTCTACAACATGGTAAGTCGTTTTTCGTTCTTGGCGCACGACTTTCTCTCAGGCGCGCCAGGCACAAATGTCGGCTCTCGGAATCCCGCAAATTGCGTCTATCCATGGAATCTCGGTTGCCGGTAGGCACTTTCCAACCGAACGGATTCATTCATTCACTCATCGTGGTTTAGGTGGTGCATATGTCCCGGCGATGGCGGACGAGAATATCATTGTTCGCAATCAAGGGCGAATCTTCCTTGCCGGTCCACCACTGGTCAAGGCCGCTACCGGAGAGGAGGTCGATGAAGAGACCCTTGGCGGCGGCATGATGCATTCCAGCGAAAGTGGAGTTACGGATCACCTTGCTAATGATGATGAGCATGCGGTGAGATTTCTTTGGTTTCTTCTCATGCTTTGAACTGACTGAAATTCCTAGCTTGCGATCACTCGAGAGGTTATTGGCGACCTGGGACAGTCCGCGGGTGTGACGGGACTAGTGCGTCCTTGCTATCCAGGATTTCCGCCCAATTGACCTGTTCTTAGCCACAGGCAACGCCAGAGGCCCCGCTGTATCCCGCCTCCGAGCTGCATGGTATTGTTGGGACGGATGTGAGGCAGGCGTTCGACATGCGCGACGTCATCGCGCGCATCGTTGACGGTAGTCGTTTCCGCGAATTCAAGAAGGAGTATGGGCCGACTATGCTCACCGTGGGTCTGAATCCTTTGTCTTCTTTTACACCTGGATTCACAGCGTATAGGGATTTGCGCACATCCATGGCTACGAAGTTGGTATTTGCGCGAACAACGGGATTCTGTTCTCTCCTTCGGCGCTCAAGGCGACACATTTTATCGAGTTGTGCTCACAACGCAAGATTCCGCTGCTGTTCTTGGTGAATGTAACGGGTAGGTGCATCTGCTGACATTTGAAATTGGTCTGATCTTCGTAGGGTACATGGTCGGGTCCAAGGCGGAACGCGGTGGAATCGCCAAAGATGGTCGGTCTTCCCTCTCAACGAATGACCAGCGATCTTATCCGATACAGGCGCCAAGATGGTGCGGGCTGTCGCGTGCGCGGACGTCCCGAAACTCACGGTTATCGTCGGTGGCTCCTTCGGTGCGGGTAATTACGGTATGGCTGGTCGCGCGGTATGTCTGCTCCAATATTTTTTTTTCTGTGAAATTTCTAAATGCTACTTGCAGTACTCGCCCCGGTTCTTGTGGATGTGGCCGGTATGACTTGCTCTCGCTGTACCTAACGGTTTGGTGACCTCACCGCAGAATGCGAAAATATCGGTCATGGGAGGGGCGCAGCTCTCGCAGGTCATGAAGTCTGTTTCCAAGTACGCATTATCTTCCTTTTCTCACTGCACAAATCTCTCATTTCATTTCGCCTCCTAGGGACCCCGCACAGCACGCATCGCTGCAAGGTGAAATTGAGAGCCAGTCCACCGCGCTCTATTCGACGGCCCGACTTTGGGATGACGGGATTATTCGGCCGACGGATACGAGGGATGTGGTGGGTCTTGCGTTGGGACTTGCTGCGAGGAGGTCTGCGGGGCAAAGTGGGCAAGCGTCGACGACGTGGGATGGAGAGGGCCGTGGGTTTGGAGTGTTCAGGATGTGAGAATTGTAGAATATTGTAAGTACGTGTATTTGTTTGTCTCTGTTGACGCGAATAGGGGTTAACCCAGCTCTTTGTTGTCCTTGAACTCTCTTTGACGCGCCGCGACCGTTTCCACCTTTTCGAAGAAGACCGTGCAACGACCAAGAATATGAACCCTGTTCCCCCCGTGGCTCCAGGTGCCGCCCCAGGTCTCGCTGTTTTTACATCTGTGCGGACATTCGACTCATTCCTTAACTATTTCAGTTGTAGCTCCTCCAGCACCGTTCTTCGCATACTATGACCCAATTATAACGGCCCTCGCGGATTTGCGAACCGTAATTCGTTTGTTCATTGTGAGTTGACTGGTGGCACAGTATTTACTCTTTCGCAGTCGGTGGAACAACTCAGGGATGAAGTAAACGAGATCCACAGGGAAGCTCGAATTGTGAGTGACTTACAAGCGTCGTGTCGGTGCATAGTACTGACTCGGTCCGTTACGCAGACCGGCAACAGGTGCAGAGGCGCGGGCAAGGTGATCCCGTTCTCCTCTTGACCCGTACCCGTATTCGACGGGTTTATGGGAGGATTTTGGGGCACGCGTGCCTCAAATGCACTCCATGACACTTTTTGAAGACGTGAACAAGGTTCTACGCCCTCAAGACGGCACTACATGACCTCTGCAGCGCGTCCCGACGTGAAATGGGTTGTTTGATCATGACCCGCACGGGTTACGGGTCGTTCAACATCGACCCGAGCCCGTACCCGCGACCCGGACCGGGTCGCCAAACCCGTGGTGAACACTAACTGGAACAGGATTTCGCGCAGCTGAATCTCCGATGCAGTCGACCCGCCTTCCTCTTGACCGTTCAAGGTCCGACACTGACGATCCATGGCGCCGCGTTCCCTGGGGACTGGATAACCCAAGAGTTTGCGAGCATCAACCTGCAGCACGACCGCCTCCTCGACACAAAGTCGGTTCTCCGCACGGCCCATGTACTCAAAACCCTCAAAGAGTCCATCCACCTACTTGGGGACGAATATGAGAATTGGGCCAAGGTTCCTGTAATCCATCCGGAGGACATGGATTCCAGGGCTCCCAAGGGTGCCAAATATTACCCGCAATCCTTGGTCTTCAAGGACGCTGACGATGAGCCACACAAGCTCGTGTTCAGGGGACCTCTGTTGAAGAACAGCACTCCTGCTCAAGCCTCGATTTTCAGGGCTTCGTGCGGCGACCAAGCTGTTATTGTCAAGTTTGCGGAAACTTATGGGGAGGATGTGCACCGGCTATTGGCGCGCGCGGATTTGGCACCGAAGCTGTTGTATTGCGGCCATCCCTTCGCCGACCTAGACATTGGTGTGAAGATGGTCGTGATGGAAGAGCTCCGATTTCAATTTCCGACCCGTCGACGTCCCGACCGTTCCTCAATGCGACTAACTCGACGCCGTGCTACGTATTCTCCGAGAGAACGGGTGCGTTCATGGTGACTTGCGACCTGAGAATATCCTGGTGCACGAGAATGGAAGTGTCCGCGTTGTGGACTTTGACTGGGCTGGCAAGGTCGGCGAGGTTCATTACCCGTACAACCTGTACCGGGATACCGGATTCCCTGCCATGGAGTCAAGTTTCGGGATGAAGGAGATCGCGATGGAAGACTGATGTCCGTATCATGCAGCAAATCTTGAGTAAATCTTCGGATCGGAGTAAACGTTCACTGGAGTCGGGGCAACGACGGGGAGCACTTGGCAAAGCGGGCCCGTAATGAATAGTTAGTATGGTATTGTACATGTAATTCAGCTCGATCTGACACTGCCTTGACCCAAAAGATTCTTGTGGATGAGTGAGTCGACGGCAAGGTAATAACGGATTTGGAAAGTACCTCAAACCCAATCATTAGAGCCGCATTCTCCAGCGGCGTGCGCGTGATGTCTTGTTTTGTCAGAAATGTACTCAATCTCTCCTCGGGCCAGCGCGCCATCCCGCGTAAATGGTCCGCCTCGACGACGCCCGCGAGGTGGAAAGGTCTGGCGCAGTGAGGCATAGGCGGGTAGCATCCGGAGAGGAATACCTCAATGGGACCCTGCCACGTCTCGGGTGTTTGTTCCTGCGCTTCAGGCTCGGACTCGGGGTCAGGAGAAAGCGAGGGTTGAGATGAGACCGAAAAATCTGGTACAGGAGAGAACTTTGGCTGCATGGATGGGGAAGGCGAGGGTTGAGGTGAGACCGAAAAATCTGGCGCGGGAGAGAATTCTGGCTGCGGGGATGACATCGAGAGGTCAGGTTCGGGCGAGGTAAGACGCGTCAAGTCCGGCGCCGGTGAGGGCTCCAGTGAAGCAAAGGCCGCGAACAGGAAATCCGACGACGGCGAGCACTCTGGCATGGACTCTAGCGACATGAACGAGGGAGTTTGTTCTCTCGCAGGCTCTGGAGATGGCTCCGGGGACTCGTGGATCGCGAACGTGACACGGCGT